ACTTGACAGGCTCCACCCACCTGAACACCAGTGCAGACCAGGTACCCCCTCATGGCAACAGCACTCTCTCATGACAGTGCCACACTACAAAAACTGCTCAGGGATGGTCCAAGGAATGGGACAAAGAGCTCATGGCATCGTCCTGGCCTCCAAATGCCCCAGATCCCAATCTGATCAAGGATTTGTGGGACATGCTGTTACCCCAGAGGTACCCCCAACCCACAATGGGGCCTCACTGGATCGAACTAAGCCCTGACCTGTTGAGGCATGGATAAAGGACCTCTAAGGGGTGTCCTGTGGTGTCTGGTACCAAGGTGCTGGCAGAGGATCCTTTAAGTCCTGTGGGCTGTGAGGTGGGGTACCAGCATGTCCCACAGATGTTTGATCCGATTGGGATCTGGGGACTTTCGAGGCCAAGTCAAGGCCTTGCGCTCTAGTTCACGTTCCTAGAGCCATTCCTGAGCACTCTTTGCAGTGTGGCATGGTGCATTGTCCTGCTGGGGGGAACCACTGCCATCAGGGAGTGCCGTTGCCACGAGGGGGGGTACTTGGTCTGCAACGGTGTTTTAGGGAGGTGAAGCTTGTCAAGTAGCATCCACATGAATGCTGGGATGAAAGCTTACTCAGCAGAACACTGCATTGTTACAAGATGATCCATGTTATTCACTTCACCCATCAGTGGCTTTAATGTTTTGTTGATCGTAGTATATAATGAGGACAAAGTGTCTCCGTCTCCGTCCCTCCCTCGGCCTCTCTGTTAATGCCTTGTGCAGAAATAAGATTAATAGTCTAAATAAATAAAAAATATTTAAATCATTTTCCAGCACTAGATTCATCTGAAAGGCCGACTGATGGAAAACGACTTTTAACCTCCCCCCACAAAGATTTTTAACTGTTCCAAACTACAGTGGATTGAGACCTTTATTGAGACGGTCTCTTACTTTGTGTCTGAGGGTCCAGGTTCATTACTGAAGACTGGAGGAGTAATCATGGACCAGTCACTCTTCATAGACAGACAGCTGGACACTGGAGACTCTGCTCTCTGTCTGTGGAAACAACAAATGTTTAACACATATTATTAGTCCTTGTAAAGACCAGAAGTAACATTACAACAAGTCCTCCGACCCATACGACCACACTGATCCTATGTTCCTACCCTCTAATACGACCCACAGGAGTGTTTCCTAAATTAGTGCCCCTACCAGTGTGGTTAGGTTTAGGAAAAGAATCATGGTTTGGCGGTGACCTCCCTACATGGACTCTGTTGCTCCTACATTATGTCATGTGACTTCCTGCTCTGGTCCCATCATAATCACTACAGCAGCTGGAGGTCACAGCCGACACTGGACATAAATATAATGAAGAGTTGATGAATGAGGAAAATGAGAGAGAACAAAGAGTAGGAGAGGTGACCATTGTGGAGCAGGAAGTAGCAAAGATTAGTAAGGATGAAGTGAGGAGGGCACTGAAGAGGATGAAGAGTGGAAAGGCAGTTGGTCCTGATGATATACCTGTGGAGGTATGGACATGTCTAGGAGAGGTGGCAGGAGAGGTTTTGACTAGGTTTTTCAACAAGGTCTTAGAGAATGAGAGGATGCCTGAGGAATGGAGGAGACGTGTGCTGGTGCCGATTTATAAGAACAAGGGAGACGTGCAGAGTTGTGGCAACTACAGAGGGATAAAGTTAATGAGCCATACGATGAAGCAATGGGAAAGAGTAGTGGAAGCTAGACTAAGAGCAGAAGTGAGCATCTGTGAGCAGCAGTGTGGTTTCATGCCAAGAAAAAGTATTATAGATGCAGCATTTGCTTTGAGGATGTTGATGGAGAAGTACAGAGACAGTCAGAGGGAACTGCATTGTGTCTTTGTCGCTCTAGAGAAAGCATATGACAGGGTGCCAAGAGAGGAGCAGTGTATTGTCTGGAGTGGCAGAGAAGTATGTTAGAGTGGTGCAGGACATGTATGAGAGCTGTCGGACAATGGTGAGGTGTGCTGTAGGTGTGACAGAGGAGTTTAAGGTGGAGGTGGGACTGCATCAAGGATCAGCTCTGAGCCCCTTCTTGTTTGCTGTGGTGATGGACAGGTTGACAGATGAGGTTAGACAGGAATCCCCATGTACTATGATGTTTGCAGATGACATTGTGATCTGTAGTGAGAGCAGGGAGCAGGTGGAGGATTTTAAGTACTTATATTAGGGTCAACAGTCCAGAGCAACAGAGAATTTGGAAAAGAGGTGAAGAGACATGTGCAAGCAAGTTGGAACAGATGGAGAAAAGTGTCAGGTGTGATGTGTGATAGAAGAGTAGCAGCAAGACTAAAAGGAAAGGTGTACAAGATGGTGGTGAGACCAGCGATGTTGTTTGGTTTAGAGACAGTGGCACTGAGGAGAAGACAGCAGGCAGAGCTGGAGGTAGCAGAGGTGAAGATGAGTACACCAGAGGGACAGCTCATGTTAGATGTCTCTATCTATCCAAAAAAAAAAAATCATAAACGTAACTGTATAGCAGTAACCAGTGTAAACAAATGTGCACTAACAAATCACAGGCAGTTCAAATATCTCATGGTGGAGCTTCATGAAAACCTCCTGAGTAATGTTGTGCTCCACTGTGAGACGACTTTCAAAAGGCAAAAAGCTCCCTCATGTTTTTCAACAGTCTCTTACTTTGTGTCTGAGGGTCCAGGTTCATTACTGAAGTATGGAGGATCATGTTTGGACCAGTCACTCTTCATAGACAGACAGCTGGACACTGGAGACTCTGATCTGTCCCCGTCTGCCTCCAAATCATCCATCTTCCCAAATCTGAGAGAACTGTAACACACATACACAGTGTGAGTCACCAACTCAGTCTCTGACCAAATGTCTCCCCTTCTGTTCCTGAGATATGAC